AAAAAAACAATTAATAGATGTTTTTGAAACGGAAATCCAAACATACTCTTGGTCTTTAGTCAAATAAATAAGTGTTTCAAGTAACTCTTTTTTTGAGTTAACGAAATTAATAGACAAAAAAGACTATATTAGAAGCCTTTAAAAGCTTAAGGATCAATAATCATTTAGTTTCAAAGGTTAAGGACAACTTTGCAAGTAATCCATAGTAATACAAGTAAGATTTTATTTTTATTACTAATTATCGACAATACTAGGAGGTAGTGGGGGACCACAAGATTGGAAATCAGATCGAGTGACAAGCTGCCAGGTAATGTGATTAATGCGAGAAACGAGAAACACGTGGAATTATCTAAGGACGTTGTGGGTAACCTACTAACCTTATCCTTTTTCTGAGTGGGTCCCGCAGTTGCTCTTAAACAAAACAACCATGATTTTCGGTCGGACTACATTTATGAAATATCTGTCCAATCGGATAACCATCACCGAATTTGGGAATTACAGAAATGATGTACTAAATGAGCAATATATAGTATGCTTTCTTCCTTAGACCAACAGTTAAAAAAGTTAATTTTTTTAATAAATTATGTTAATGTAAGAATTTATTTTTAATATTAAAAAATAAATAATTTTATGGGTGTAATCCTATTAAATTACTTGCAAAGTTTAAATAAAAAGAATTAACAGTTTTTTAACTAATGTTTTATGGGTGTATTTATTTTATATTTTATAATCAATTTTTAAGAAAAATATAAATAGTGATTTTAATTTAATTAATTAATCAATTAAAATTATAATTAATATTAAAAAAATTAAAGTTTAGTTTTTGTATTTTTTACATAAGTTAATTACAAAAAAGTTAGAGGGCTGGTTAAAAAAAAAATTTAAGAATTAATTGTATACCATGATAAGATGTTATTATATTAACAATTTATTGATTCGAATGAAAGAAGTTTAATTCTATTTAAATAAAATATTGAATTCAAATATTATAAATAAAAAAATATGCATTGAGAGAGATTTTTTTTATGGGATTCAATTTCGTGACTTGACTTTTAATGAGTTAAAATCTAATATAATTTTTAAATATTGAAAGATAATTTATTTTTTAATAAATATAATATTAT